AACTAATAGAGCTATTTTTTTAAAAGGTAGGACAGAAAGTGACTTCTATACTTTTAAAATTTGCCCAAAATTTAGGAAGTCTTTTAGACCGAGCCAACTATAGTACCTGCATAAATTTACACATTAAATTTGATTTGCAAAATTTAATCTTGTTGTCCCCCGTATATTAATAATATGCATACTTGTCATATTAATATACCTTTTCTGGAAAAAAAAAACGATTCAATACTACTGTTTTTGCATTCGAATTTTTTGTATTAATATATAAATATTTCACACAAAAACTAATTAGTGTAAAAAAAATTTTTTTAATTTATAAAAAATGGTAAGAAATAGATAAAAAAATTTTCATTTTAATTAAAAGAAAATTATTATATAATACATTTTAAATTTATTTTAGAATTCATCAAAAGGAGTTATCGATATTGGAAGTAATGGTATTCGTTTTGGTTTAGTCTCTTCATTAGATAGACATTTACCAGTACTTTATGAAGAACGTGCACCCATTTCATTATTTGATGCACAACATTCTTCTAAATCCGGGGAAAAATCCAATATATCAGAAAATGTTATACGTGATGTAGAGAATACCATGAAAAGATTTAATTATATGTGTAGAAGCTATGGTGTGGAAATTAAAGATGTCACTATCGTGGCCACCGAAGCAACTCGCACTGCGCCTAATTCTTCAGATTTTCGTGAAAGAATAAAAAAATCATTTCAAGCACCCGTTAAATTATTAGACAAAAAAGAGGAGGCTATAGTTTCTGGCAAAGGAATTGCAGCAACTTATAATGGCGTGGAAGGTTTAGTGATGGATATGGGTGGTGGATCTGTAGAAATAAATTATTTGAAATTTGATCGAAAAACTGCCGAATTCAAAATATCAGATTCACCAATAAATCTTCCTTATGGTGCTGCCGCTTTAACAAAATTATTGACACAAAATAATACTCCTGAGAAACTTACTGAATTATCAAATAATATAGTACAAGATTTAAAAAAAGGGATTGCAAGCTTAGATGCTCCTGAAGATGTCAAAGTTGATGGGAAGTTTACCGTCTATATGAGTGGTGGTGGATTTCGTTCTTTAGGTTATTTATGTATGTCAGAAAGTGGAGCTGAATGTGATTCAGGTAAAAAATATTCTTATTCAATCCCAATAATCAATGGTTTCTATACATCTTCCAAGAAATTGAAAAAAATAATAGAACCACTTACACCATCAAAACAAGTAGAATTTAAAACATCACCAGAATTAATATTTCCTAATGGAAATCCATTTCGTGTCGATAACAGGCGTGCTAGATTAATGCCAGCGTGCTGTTTCTTAATCAATGCTATAATGCAATGCATTGATATAGGTGATATTTATTTTTGTGAAGGTGGCATACGTCAAGGAATATGCTTTCAAATGATGGACAAAGAAATTCAAAAATTAGATCCATTAGAAACCTTTATTGAGAAAACCCCATTACAAACGGACCAGATTAAATATAGAACCCAACATATACTAAATATTTTGAAAGGTTCCATACCAGAGAAATTTGATGAAATACTTGATTCTGATGTCACTGGTAATAATAAACCAGAAAGACTCAAACGTCTTCTTCCTAGTATTATATCACTATCACAATGGTCAATGAACCTTGCAAAAGAAGCACGCCCAATCAACGGTTTTGCCTTACCACTTGCAGGTGGACTACTTTGTAACACTCCTGGACTAACTCATGTTGACAGAGCAATTATATCATGGTGTTTAATGTATAGATATTTTAGTGATGCAAATGAAGGTGAAGATGGTGTAGAAAAAGATATTAGTGTGATGGAACCTGGTTTATTTATAGGTATAAAAAATATGATTCCTGGTGGAGAGAGTGGTAGAAAGGTTTGTGAATTCATTGGAAAATTAGTTGGGTTTATTATTTTGTGTACGCCAGTTGGTAGTTCAGTAACTAATTCCACAAGTTATTCAAAACGACCTAAAACAAAATCAACAAACAAATCCAATTATAATAATAATAATATTTCAGACTTTGATAATCAATTAATTAAATTTAAATTAGAAAAATCAACCTATGAAATAGGAACATCTGAAAATCTTATGACAGAGACTATCAATATAACATTTTTAGATTCTGATAAATTATTCATTGTCAAAAATCCGCTTGTCAAAGAATTCATTGGTTTCATTAATAATTTTAGTTATACATTTGAGTTCAATCCAAAACATCAGGATTCGTCAATTGAAAAATTAACAGTTAACATCAAAATTAATGAAATTCCTGAAAATGACCAGGAAGAAACGGAATCTGGACAACTTTCTGAAAAAGAAGAGGAAAAACCAGAAAAAGAAAAAGAGGGTGTGGAAAAAGATAAAGAAGGGAAAGAAAAAATAGTAATTCCAAATGGAAATAATCAAAAGAAATTCAAGTTTCTCAGAAAACTCACCTTGAAATTAAATATAAAAAAGACCAGATCAAATGAAAAATCAACATCTTCTTCAAAAGAATAAAAAAAAAATTAAAATTTATTTATGACAGACAAGTTGTTTGTTTATTTTACATCATTATTTATTAGAAGGAAAAAAAAATTTTTTTTTGTGTGTTCAATAATAATAATAATTTAAAAACCGAAACCGAACCGTTCGGAGCTTTAAAATTTACATATAAATAATATGTAATAATGAATAATAATGGGTAATGTCACTACCACTATATAGTTCTTTTTTCTTTTGGGTCAGACTTTATGACAAAGCTTGAATGATGTCAATTTTTCAAATAATTATCTTTTTTTTGTACATGGCCCCATGTGATGATATCATATAACCATTTTGTAGATGTTCACCTTGTGGTTACAAGTTCCACAACTAATTATAATGTAAAAGATTTTTTTAAAAAAATGAGTAGTAGACACACAGGTGGAAAATCTTTGCATGTCTTACAAATATGTTGTAACAAAAAGAAAGTTAATTGCTGGTTAAAATATAAATAATGTAATATCACAAATAGGGATGATATAGTTGGAATAAAATTAACTTTTTAAAATAATTATTTGTGAAAAAAATTTTTTACACATGGTGTGGTTTTACCTAATGGTGATGATGATAATAATAATATATTATTGACTAATTATTATAAACCATTCCATTATATATATTATAAATTAATAAATCTGAAAATTTTTTCTTGCTTGAATGTTGAATCATCATTTATTCATAGTGATCTCTTCATTATTACTAGATGATGACAATGTCACTTCATGTGAATCCTCTTCTATCAATATATTACTATCAACAACAGTACCTAATAATAAAAAATAAAAAATAAATCATTCATAATAAGAAAATCAAAACTAAGAAATGAATAATTAACAAATTTTTTTTACAAGCCAGTCAATTAACTTCTCAATATTACCCTCATACCTTTATGAACAAACTCCAATGTCATTGCTATTTCTCTCGTATCTCTCTCTACAACTTCTGCCCAATTCTGTACATTACCTAATTCCTAATTATGTTTAAGTATAAATCTTAATCAAAAAAAAAATTTTTACAAGACAAAAACTTGAATATATACTTTTATTGCTGTGTTAAATAAATTTAACATATTCAACCATTGTTTAGTTTGCTTGGTATATTTAGCAGATTGTGATAATAGATGTCGACTTTCTGATTCTATTTCACGTTGAGTTTTGAATATTGATGCTACTCTTTTTAATTTATTATTTTAAAAATTGATTGATTGATTGATTGTGTCAATTGTAATATTAATTATTTCTTATGAATTTAATTTGATATCTAACCAAATTAAAATGTAAAAAAATATCATTCATTCTTTAATTTATCCATGTATGTACCTTTCGTTTAAAGTGTCTGACAAAGAATCTGTCACTCCATTTACTGCTTGAATAGCCTCTTTTCGAAGTTGTTCTATGTATGATGGAACAAATTTTGTTGTTAGTGGTTTTGCATTTGTGGAAATGTCATATTACATAATAAAACCATATAGGTAATAATCAATTAGTTATTTAACAATAGCATTATACCATTATTACGTCTTACAGACTGTTGTTTTTGTGTATGTTCTCTAACGAGTCGTGAAAGCATGCTTAAAAAAAAAGAAATAAATGATCACAGAAAATTGCAAATCACATGCTGCTCATTCTTAATTATGATTGGACCAAATATTAAAATGGGTCATACACTTTCAAAATATGCGTATTTATAACTACCATGTCCGTCTATTGGATCAAACAATGTTGAGGATGCCATTTTTTGAATTAATATATAGTGTACATGTTCAGGTTGCCAGACACCTTCTGAAATAAGAATATCACCAGTAGGTAATTCAGTGAAGGTAGGTAGGGTTTCTATTTGCAGTGATGTGCCATTGGAAGATTTGAAGGGATTGGAACTTCCAATCTTCTAATTCAAATCTTCCAATGATGGAGGGCATTGGAAGGTTGAGAAGGCTTACACGTTATCAATATTTATGGTCCAATCAAAACTTATTCACGTGATAAATTGAGGACAATAATTACATTGTAAGGTCATTGGGAAATTGGAAGAATGGAAGTTCCAATCTCCCTAGAGCTTGTATCTGTACAACCGATTTTTCAGATATCTGGAGATATCTGTCAGATTTCAGATAAACAAAATTTATTTCAGATCACATCAAATTTCAGATAAACAACCAATTTTGGATAAGATTTCAGATAAATCAGATAAAATTTCAGATATCTAAATTTATCCAAATTTATTTGTTTGTACTATATATATATGATATATATGAGATTTTTTTTTTTGTAATATGAATGATTGATAAATAATTTTTGTAAATAAATAATTACAATAATGTTAAAAAATATAAAAAATAATATTATAGCTTTTCTTGAAAAGAAATATGAAATTTTTTGACACAATTTTCTGTTTTTTTTCTTGATGTAAAAAATTTTTATGCACTTTTTTTTGGCATAAATACTTTTGATAATAAACAATAAAATCAAAATATCTAACATGACAGATATCCTAAGTATCTAAATATTGAAATTTGATGTATATTTGAATATTTGAAACTCAACAGATATCCAAATATTCAGATATTTGAAACACAATGGTATTCAAATATTCAGATATTTGAAACTTGTCAGATATCCAAAATCTGAATATTTGAACTAGATGGATATCTGGATATGTTTTAACAGCTAAAATCCAGATTTCAAATGGCTTTGATAATATTCAGATCAAATAACAGATATGATTGTGTAATAACAGATTGGATACGGATTAAGAGATAGGGTTTGAATACAAGCTCTAAATCTTCCAATGCTTTTTTAAACCATCACACAACATGTTTAATTTTGGAGGATTCTTATAGTGATCAACAATGTTGTGCAATTGGAACATTGTAATGCTATTGGAATGTTCCAATGTAGATCTTCAATTGATATTAACCAATAAATTCATGTGTGTGGTGGTAATGTAATTGAATTTCATTGGTCAACTTCATTGGAACCACATTTGGAATGTTCCGATTCCAATTGGAATTTATTAGAATGCTCCAATGAAATTTTATTGGAACCATAAATGGCACAACACCGCCTGTAATGACCGTATTTGATTTTGTTGAAAATTACTTGATCTCGAAGTGGTGATTGTCGTGGTTGTCGTGATCTCCTAGCTACAGTTGTAGGACTAGGAGTTGGGTCGGAATAGAAGTAGAAGTAGAAGTAGGATTAGGAGGTGTAAGAGTATTAGGAGTAGGAGGAGGAGTATGTGTAGGTGTAGGTGTCGGTAAAGGAATGTACGGTTGATGCATTAAAAATGCCAACGAATTGTAATTGTTGTTATTAATGTTGTTATTGTTGTTGTTATTATTATTCATTTTGTTAAATATTATAAATTTTAATAACTTTTTATCTTTTAAAATTTTTTTTAAATTTTGATAAAATGTTAATATTAGATTAAAAAATTTACAAGTTTAAATATTAAATTAAAATGAACTTTCCCTAAAAAAAAAAACCTGAAAAAACTGTTTAATGATTGAATTTTACTACTAAAATCCACTAATTACTGTTTTCTTTGTGACAGATATGGTAAAAGACTCATTTTTAAATAATTTGTTTAACAGAATAAATTACGTTTTATTATTATGTCGAGTGAGATTTTTCTATTACCAAATAAAGATATATTAAACAATTTAAATTTTACATTATTATTATTTTGATTGTTTATAGTGTTTATTTCAAGATTAATTAAACATTTTTTTTATCTAGTCCAATAACACGAGTGACAAAGATTTTGTTACTGTTGGTAATTAGTATTAATGTATTTTGCTTAAATATATAGAATATTTTAATACTAACTAAACGATATCTCCAATAATAAATTAATAAATAATAATCAATGCATTTTTACATATAATCAATAAATAATTATACTTCTACAACATCCATACGAACAAGTTGTTAGTTATAATTACCATCTTCTCAAATATTTGTGAACGTTGATTATATATAAGTTAATTGACATTCACGAACTCCTATCTAAAAAAAATTTTCCTTCTGCCCTCTGCAAAATTTCATTTTCCTCAAACAAAGAATATAGTCAGTTATTATCTTTATTATTATCAATATATGTTATATGAATTCAATATTACCCATATTAATAAAGATTGAATTACACAATACGTAATAATGACACGAATCATTTTTACGATCAGATCTATTTAATATTAATTCGGTTAATGAATTTAATTATATGAATTAATAAATAATAAATAATATTGCCATATTAATCTAAGATTGAGTTACACAATGCATAGTATTCGGGTTAATAGTAAACCTAATTTTATAAACTACAGTAAATATAATTAAAATTAATAAATAATCAAAAGATGTAATTCAAATATCAATATATTATTATATGTAGTGTTTGTGATGGAATAATTGATTAATTAATCGTTTTGATCTTTTATGTAGAAATATGAAAAAATAATTCATTCTAAAAAAAAATTAAACCCTTTTGATTATAGTGAAAACAAAGACTGATTGCGCAGTATTTATTACTATTGCACAATAAATAAATAAGCAATGATATTAATTATTAAAATTTATTTCCAAACCATCCGATATCTCTATTATGTTAAAAACATTTTATCTTTACAAAATAATTACGTTGACTAGATGACTCGCCATTCGTTATCGCATAATGGATATTAATTATTAAAATCTATCTCCAAATCATGCCTTAGAATAGCTACACACTATCTATTACTATTATAATAAATAACAACCACATAGATATTTCGTCATGAAACAATTGATCATATATAATTTTATTTTTATTTTTAGTTTTTTTTTTTTTTTTTGCGAAAGATTGTTTGTTAGTTTTATTTATTTAGAATTTATTTTATACATATTTTTAAAATACATAGTAATAGATAAATAATGTATAAATATCGTGATCAATCCAATCTTTGCCCAACATAGTGGAAATTTGAAATGTTACATTAA